AGGAATACTTATATACTAACTCAATCAAGCAGTCAGTTCTGAAGTTATTAAATCTTAGTTAAATTAATATCTTAGATAAGACTAAACAGTAACTTCTCTCCTAACAATATATATAAAAATTAAAATATAATTCTGCAATTGAATACTGAGCAAAGATATTTGTGAATTAGAAGTAGTTATATATAAGCAGAATAGGATAATACTCGAGATAGAATAATACTCGAAACGTTTGCTAAACCTATATCTTAACAAAATTTCCAAAAATTACTGATTTAATACAGATTAAATACAGATTTAGCGCAAAATGTAAATGATTAATTATTTATTTAGGGGCAGCAGTGTAATAAAAAAGAATGCATCGATTATTTTAGTTCGACATTATGTGATGAAACTCTACATCTAGCGATTGTAAAACACTGGTTCAAAGAGTTAGAGCGTTGTCGTCGGTGACGAATTTCATGAAGGTCCTCTAAGAATGGCTGTTGTACCACAAAACATGAATGCAGTGCGATAAATGATTGAGATGGATCGACACGTTACATACCGGGAGATATAAGCGTCTGAAGAACATCATAGATGCATTGGTAAGACTAGCATACATGAAATTATACATACAAATTAAAAAAAAATTGTCAGAAAGAATTGTTCTCGTTGGATTCTGCATAATTTAAAAATCGCTCAAAATACGACACGTGTTGATTGGTGCAAGAAAATGCTGAAAAAATACGTCCGAGATAGTTCAAAATACGTCTTTGACATAGTCTCAGATGACTTATCATGGATTTATACCATTATCATGGATTGTATAATTATCACTTCCAAAGTGAAAAGAATCCGACAAAATTTATTCACGGACCGAGCAATTCTAAGTAAATGATCGCTTGTTTTTTCAGAAAAGCCGGTCATGGCGGAACTGTGCCATTTAAACAACGTAGAACAGTAAATTCTGAGTGCTACATAACCATTTGTTTTCCAGAACTTTTCGAAAAATTTAGCAAAACCAACCGTCAAAGGAAGATCATCCAACACACAATGCAAACTCCAGCACATCAGCTCAAACAAAAAAATTTTTGAGCACTCAAAATGTCGAATTGGTCAATACAATACATAAATACCCCAATAAATTAATACATGGGTCTAATTACATCACAATCCCGACTTGACATCCAATGAATTCTTCGAAAACTTTGAAAAAAAAGAAATAGTTCGTTGAGACATTTTGCAGCCCTGGTTTTGGAGATGCCAAAAGATTTTAAAATTGACAAAACTGTTTCAAAATGGTTCAATCGAATGTAAAAATGTATTGATCATCATGGAGAATAGTTTGGAAAACAATAAAACCATTTTTCCTAATTGACTGCAGCCCTCGTATATAAATCTCATGTCACTATGTTCGTAAACGATAAACTCTGAAACGGTCCAACTGATTTCAATCAATTTGTGAATGTGTATGATTGGTTCCCGGTTAAAAGATATGACAGTTTAGTATCCAATAGATGGTGCTATTATCATGATGCAATATTATTTTTAAGTTTTTCAACGAAATTTTTTTTGTTCAATTTTTTCATATTTCTCATCCAAAAAAAATACATTCAATCACATTCAAATTTTAGGTTTACTACAGCCCGTGATCCTCAGTATTTTTTAATACGATTTGTTTAGTGGAAGAAATACTTGTTTATATTTGTTCATTTATTTAATATTTAACCTTTACTTTAAGACCTTAAAAATTATTTCAGCATTATTAAATCAGACTTAATTGGATTATTGAAATAATACCCAAGTAGTTAAATGATTCTATTATAGATTTTATTTGCTATATATTTAAAAAGAGACAAGCTCAACAAGTCTTTTATCATACCTGACTTGCTGTGTGTTGCAAAAACTTGGATAATTGGTAATAGTGATGAGAAAGCTTTGAAAGCATTAAAGAGGAAAAGTGTTTGGAAGATCTATAGTTCTCTGTGCGTTGGCAATGAGTATCGAATTAGATGAAACAATGAGCTGAATGAGCTGCACCGCCACTTCGACATAGTCATCCACATAAAAATTCAGCGATTTTTGCTGGTCTGCTTATGTTGTGGAATTGGAAGAAAATTTTCCGGCTAAAAAGGTGTTTGATTCGGTACATGCTGATGGGAAACGCGCTAAAAACATCCGCATTTTCGATGGAAAGACTAGTTGATCAAGGATATGTAGGCATTCAGCACTACCAACTGGCGATCACAAGCCACTGATTTTTGGAAATATCTCTTACGATAACAGCGCACTTGGATAATGTTTTCACACGACTGTGCAGTATAAATACAATTTTTCAGGAATTTAGATAAAAAATAAAAAATATTATAAAATCTAAACAAAGAGAGGCAGTGCTTTTAATTCTGAAATCAGTTTTTATTTGTCTGATATTTCAATTACTTTTTACGAAAAATTCCGAAAAAAAAATTGTTTACTTCACCAAATTATTGTTTATTTTAAAATCCACAATTAAGTACGTATTTTATATTTTATTCACATATTTTTAACAATAATCCTAACGCATAGCAACCACAGTTTCTTCACTTAAATTTATTAGCTTTGCAATTATTTTATAGCAATTTCTTGTGCTTTTTATGTTTTGGGATTTTTTGTTAACAAAAATGTCCATCAATCTTCTAAGACAGAAATTGGATAGGTGTGTCTAAGAGTATTTACTTCATTGCTCATCAGGAAATTCATTTAAAATTAAAAAACAAACTTAATTTTAATAGTTTCATAAAAATAAATCACATAATCATCGCAAAATTAACAACTTCTACTGAAAGTGAATTTACGAATATTACAAAACAAAAAATGTTAAAACGTCATCAACTTGCCTTCAAATTTAGAGAATCTAAGCCAGATTAAACTTCAAAAGGTTATTCACTTTCCGGCTTCATAAAAAACAAAACGAAAACAATAGATCAGAGACGTATCTTTATTAGATCAACGGCAACAGGTGATAATAAGCTTAACAAATAAAATTAGACTAAAAAAGATTTAAAAATTTATTTTAATTGTAAATAAATGCTTTCAAAATTTTAAGAAAATTGACAATCGGTCAAGCAGACTATTCGGGTCTCTAAAATGGCATATTAAAATTTCTTTTATTAATTAATATTGGTGTTGGTGTTAATATACACTTGTACAATAAATATAAATATATTAACAATTTTTACTTTGGACACAAATTTTTTGTATATTTGTACCACCCACGTCATCTATTTTTATATAGGAGGTATATTTTGTGGGTACATCTGTTTGACCACGGCTCATTTGAATGACTATTATTTTTTTGTGACCAGGCAATCTCATAGTAAAGGGTTATAGTAAAGGGTTATCAATTTTGTAGTCCTTACTTGACAGCAATGTCTCAATAAAATATTTTAAGCCAAACTTATCTATGGCATCATATGTTTAATTTAAGGTTTATCATTTAACAAAATGGATCGTTTAACAATCATAGAACATGTTAAAATTGTGAAAACGTTCTACTAAAAAGGCGATTCTGTATTATGGGGAGATTATAATCGACATAATCATCCATTTAAACTCAATAAAAGCGCTATGATGTGGAAAGATTTAAAGAAAATGGATTTAATGAATATGCTACAGACTTCGATTATGTCTGACATCAAATTTCATGCTTGGTCAAAAATGTTGCCTCTGCCGGCTTATCTAAGGTTACATCAAGTCATATTTGAAATATGAATTTTTATTTCCAATCTTATAGAATTTAACCAATACAAGAAATAATATGAGGAAATGAGTTTTTTGATTAATCATTTGCCTACACAAATGTTAATACGTTTAATTCGCAAATTCTCGACTATACACAAATGAACATCCATCGAGATATGATTAATTGAGGTTTGATTGGTTTATTTAATTTACAAATTCTCGACGGTTTACAAATGAATACCTATTGAGTTATACCCGATCTATTCCCAACTATAAGCCGACAAGATATAGAGAATTACTTATAAGGGATGCAATCAATACTCTAAGATGCCCCATAAAGAAAATTTAGATAATGTTATATGTCACAACTAATGGCAAGATCCCAATAACGTATTGAAATAGAAATTTGATCGAAATATTAATCATAACAGTGTTTTATCTAATTTTAGTTTTGGAATCATGAAATGAAAGACCGTGATTTACCATTTGCTAATTGAAAGGGGTGTTAAAACAATCTCTCTCGATTAATTTGTATTATCTACGTTATTTCTATTAGTGTTTACGTACCTATATTTGTTATCTGCGATTACAGATAAATATTACTATTTTGTAAACCGTATTCCATATAAGTTCTTCAATTGTGAATTAAATGATATATCAATATATGAATCTTGCAGAGCAATAAATCATTATAATAGAGTGACTAATTTTACAGACTTGTTGTAAAACATGAATATTAGTAGCCAGTAACTGCATGCATGCTGAGTAGCGACGGGTGGATGTCCTTATAACTGAACTGTTTAGATGTTTTTACTAAATATTAATTTCAGTGTATAAAGCACTGTTTTCACTGAAAGTTTCTTAAAAAATGTTCAATGAGAAATACAATTTAGATTTTAAACACTTATATGAAACCATTTGAGAAATTAACAAAGAAGATATACCAATTTTCGCAGGTAATTAAAAATTCAGAGACAGAGCTTGCACCTTGTGTGCTACCCACAATCCATTTTGTAGAAAAATTTTGTTCATCTATGATTCGTGAAAACTCTTGATGCTTAGAGAGCTTGTTCCCGATTTCATTTCGATGGATTGGGGTGTATGAAATTTTATTAATTACTTATTTATGATTTCAATTTGTAATTAAATTTTGTTTCTGACCATGCGTTTGCGCATTTGCGTGTAAATATAGATTAAATTAAGATTTTCATATAAATACTTTCACTGACGTACAATTACAATTTAGTATTAAATAAGATATTAAGCGGTTAAATAATATTTTAAAATACGCGGTAAGAAAAATGTTTGCACAACAGACAATGCAATCATTTGTAAGTGCTAAAATGATATCGAGATTTAACGAAATTAAAATTAATAAAATATACAAAAGAGTTCTCCCAAAGTGAAATATTATAGTGTGAAATATCTAAGTATCTGTGCGTTTTACAACTATTTTCAGATAACAAAAACTGTATTAATTCTGATCCTGGTTGCTGGTGTTTCTGCTGAACCAGAACCATTGAGAGCTCAAAGGAGATTTTTCGGACTTGGCAATTGGTTAACCGTTGCAAGTGTACTCGGACTTGGGCATAATTTGGGTCATGCTCATGGAGGAGGTTATGGACCTGTTTATGGACATCGCTATGGCATGATGCCTAATGGTTATAACGGTGGTTATTCTAACATGAATCCTGTCGGTATGGGAAATGGATATCCCACCATGCCCCCAAATGGTTTTGGTAATGGTCTTTATCCTATTGCCTTTGGAGGTTATGCCAATCAATACGGTAGTCCTTTCAGTCAATCGTTTGATTATAGTGGTTTCTATCATGTTTTTTTTTCCAGGCTATGTACCTGTATTTTTTGGTTAAAATAGACGTAAAAACATTGTTTATTGTATATTTATTTTATAAATCGTTTTTGTGTGTTTAAGTAAAAACATTTTGGTAATAAATTAATTGTGAACCCTTTCCACTATTGTGATTAAAAGATTTGTTTTTTAAAATGTATATTGAACTAATGAAATTGACGTCATAATACGCAGAATCATATATATTCAATACTAACCGATTCAGCTATATTCGCCTGCATATGTATCTTTCCGTTTAAATGCAAAGGGAATGGTAATGGAAGGTAATGTAATGATATTTTAAAGAGATATTTTTTGTGAATTCAGGCAAACTAAGTCGGTCTACGGCTAATATTATTGATTACATTATATATAATTATAAAGCGTTTATATAATTTTGTAACAAAATAAAATTTTTATATAAATTGTAATAATATGTAAATAAATCTTAAATAATTGATTTATAAAATAAGTACTGTAGCTTATGTTAAGCAAAGTTAACTGAAAACTACTTCCAGTTTTATTATGTGTTTTTAGGTTTCATTATACAATATTATTTTAAAATATATTAATATCAAATAATATTTAATAATATTATGTTAATTTTTATTAATTAAAAATAATGTTAGCTAGATCTATGTTACCTAATTACCTAATTCTTGTAGTTTTAGTCTATAAATATCTAGTATTAAAAACCGCCTTATAAGAAACGTCAATAACATATCGGTTAGAAAGACCAAGGATGACATCAAAGATGACAGCTCGGAAAAACCCATATATTTTTTAAAAAATTCTTACCATCAAACAATTACATTTAGAATTTCACTACAATCTGACGTTCAATTTAGAAGTTACAGTGTTTTAAGTGACACTACTTTTGTTAGTGGCAGCAACCGATGAAAGTCTTTCAAAATTACCAAAATCGCAACATTCGGCTGTTAAGATTGTGGCATCCGTGTTTTGGAATGTACAAAATATTTATAATATTTGGATTAATATTCATCGATAAAAAAAAGGAAAATCTATCAAAAGTTATTAGTACATTTGGGGACGAGGCCCCGAAAAATCGACAACAAATGGAGAAGAAAAAAGTACTATTTCATTAAACCATTGCACCGTTCCGTATCCACTCTAAGATACAAGCCCATATTTTATGAAATCTTAGAGAAGTTTGAGAAATTATAGAAACGCTGGAATGATTGTATATGTATGTTTTTAAAGGAAACTATGTATATTGATAAATAAAGTGGAATTTTCTCACAACACTGTGTTTTCATAACTTGCATTATTAGTATATGGTGGCCTACTAGGATTTCAAATGAAAACCTTTCGCGTTGTACCAATGAGAAATCAATAGAGTAAGAAATTTCAGAACGAAAATACAGATGGTTAGGTCATGCAGAGAGAAAACCAACGGATGTGGTTACTCATGCTGTCATGAAATGGAATCCCCAAGAAGTGATAAAATAAGGTCAATCGAAAACTACTTAGGGTAGGACAATAGCGAATGAAACGCAGAAAACTTTTAGAAAGCTACGTTTTTCTGCTAGAAACAGGGACGAATGAATAGACCAAGTTCAAGATTTATTTCGTAAATGGAGAACATGTCAAAATAATAATAATATGTCCTATCAATTATTTTTATACAGTTTATACTCCATAACACAAATGCGTATAAAATGTTTAACAATCCTCCTCGATTTGTAGTTCATGTGATTCACCATCGAATAAAAACTTTAATGTGACTAAAACTTGGCACGCAGATCTGATCACATAATTTAAATGACTTTTCTCGATGCTATTCAAGGCACGTTCTGACTACAATTTTATTACTTTTGTTCCTCTTCACGCTACAGCTTAAGACTCTCTTCAAGATGTTGCTAATTTAACACATAGGCTAACATTACTATTAACATATATGTGAAAAATAAACAAAAATGTTTGGCATTACAAGTAGCGAAAAGCTACAAACAACACGAGTACATTATATGCTAACCGGAGCCCATTGTATAGAAAAATTGCTGGGTTTTTTGTCTGTTTATGGTTCATAAGAGCGCGAAGCCAGGCTTAGTGCTTAGTGAGTTTGCTCTTGATTTCGATTATGATGGTCATTTCCGTGCGCTTGGGAGAGTCCAAAATTTCGTCATTAACTTGTTTTTAGTTTTTGTTCTACAATTAAGTTCGGTTTTCGACGATGCGTTTGCGCACTTGCGTGCAAATTGAAGCTTACGAGCAAGACCCGCTCACTAAGTCGAGATTGCGTTTTCATATAAATACTTTGACTGTCGTACAATTGCAATTTAGTATTATATACGAAACCTGACGGTTAAATAAGATTTCAGAACAAGCACTAAAAATTACATACAAGAAAATGCGACAATTTGTAAGTAGTGCGAAAGGATATCGAATTAAATTTTAATGAATTTAAAATGAATTGAATGTGTTGAGAATCCCTTTAATGTGAAAAATCATAGTGTAAAATATTTGTGTATTTTAAAATATTTATAGGTGACAAAAATTGCATTACTTCTGGCATTGATTGCTTGTGCGTACACTGCACCGGCACCAGCTCCAGTTAAGGCTGAAGGCAGATCTTTCGGCTTACTTGGCGGCGGTTTAGGCATTTCTGCTGGCTTCGGACTTGGTGCTGGCTATGGCTTAGGCTACGGTGGTGGCGGTTACGGTAGTGGCGGTTACGGTGGTGGCTATGGAGGCGGTTATGGTGGTGGTTATGGAGGCGGTTATGGTGGCGGTTATGGCAGCGGTTATGGCGGCGGTTATGGTGGTGGTTATCCCGGATTATATCCTGGTGGTTATGGCGGTGGTTTCTATCCTGGTGGCTATGGAGGATATGGTAATCAATACGGTGGTCATTACAGTCAGTCATCACATCAAAGTGGTCATTATGGTGGTTTTAATTCTGGATATGGACCTGGTTTCTTTGGTTAAAATGAACTGAATTGTATTATTTGTGTGTTAGAGTACGAATTTTTTTTATAAGCTTATTTTGTGTGTGATTTGTAAAAGTGTGAAATAAAATTTTTTAATATAAATATTTATATTATCATTTTAATTATAAATTTTGTGTACAGATATTTTTATTGCAACTATGTGTCTTTACATATAAATTTTTAAATGTCAAAACTAAACAACAAATCAATCTTAAACATCAGATATAAATCATTGTGGAGGATTATAGCTATTTGCTTGCAGTGATTAATGCAATAGCTGCTAACAAAGTTAATCACTAAACTTGAATATTTGCCCTTCACTACATCAATTTTTAAGGTCATCATCGCATTTAGAATTAAAAACAACTCAGTTTTACTTTGAAGTACATGCAACTCTTAGCAACAGTCAAGATATTTGCACAATAATTTCCTATAGGCTCAAATCCAGTTTACATGCTAAACGCATGAAGTATTAAATTTCGATACCTTGAAGCTTTACACATGCTAAGGAATATAAACCAAAAGTCCTTCAAAACAAAACTAGGAACATTAACTTCAGATCATTAAAGCATTATAATTTTTTTTATATGTTTTAAATGAACGTTAAATAAATGGATCATTAAAGTTTGAAATGAAAGGAAAATATTTGTAACTTTTCAAAATAATTTAAAAAAATAGGAATATATATATATATTTAAGATATAATACTTAACAAAATATTAGTATATAATATCTTCCCAAATATATCAAGTAACATAAATACTTAAAACTTTTGTTCTAGGCCTTTAATCAATGTTTCAAATAACCAAAAAAATTATTAGTTAGTAAACTTTAAGCTATTGAAATACAGTAGAATAAGAATAAAAGAAAGAATAAAATACTTTTTCAAATTTTATTTACTATAAACCTTTCTAGTTTTGGCGTTCCCGAATAAAATTTGATACTAGAGTCATCAATTTCCACAAATTCTAGTTTCATATTTTCTATTCTTTAAGTAAATCAATAATTTCATATTATTACAATTTTCAAAGCCAATAACATAAGTATATGCAATAGTATTATAGTTATTAGATAGTATTGTGCTCCAGTGGACGACTATATCAAACGTCACCGTAAATTCAAAGATAAAATATTCATAAATTAAATGAAGCTCAATTATAATATATTTAAAAAAATAACAACCTCTCCGATTGTTTTTATATTTAAAATTGAATACGATTCAATACTTATCAATTGAAAACCTTTTATTTTAGACATTTTGACAAAACTTGTGAAAATATATTTTTTATTTTCTTTTTATTTTTATTTTAAATTAAGTTTTGATTTAACCTTTTTATATTTTCTCTTAATTGGTCCTTTTAGCCCTGACTATTATTAACTGCTATTTACATATTTGAGCTAAATTGAGCACTACTTTCGGAAGGAATGAGTAAGATCCATGCTAACTACAGGGTCATGGGCTCATTAAAATTGTGTCTTTTTGGCTCTTACGAAAATGCATGTTATGCAGAGTATCACAAAAATTGTAATAATTTGCTTTTAAAAGACACAAATATTGACTTTTATTACTGAATAACACTACTTTGTCTAAGTGACGACGCACAGATAGCCTCGGCTCTCATGACCAAATTTGAACCGACATATTGTTTCTCATATTCTTTCTCTCTCTCACTCTCACTCATAATTTTATAATTTGTATTAAAAACAACAACAATTTTGCTCATGATAATTGACAATTTTGCTCTATGACACTTTACATAACATGGCCCTAAACGAGTTTACTACATAATTCATATAAACTCAATATAGTACGTCAATATATAGTCAATATAGTAATTTAAGTCTTCGTTGATCCTTTTCCTTGATTTAATTGTAATGAGTTTTAATAAAGACGGTAGAAGGTAAAATCTTAGTCTCATACCAGATCATTAAATTAATGCATTAACTCTTAAAAATAAAATTTCGTTTTTAATTTTGTTATATATTAAATACAATATACTTAAGGTATATAATTGCTTTCTAATTTTTATTTTCAAAAAAATTGTTTCAATCCATTATATATAGCTATATAAGTTTTTATATATTTATAAATCCACTATCTGCTACGCAGATATTTGAATGTTCCTATAAAGAACAATATTACTTTCCATTTATTTGATCACGAAGCACATCTGCTAAAAGTCATAAACAATTTAATGGTAGGTTCAATAAAGATTAGTTAATATTATTTTTAATTCCTCATAATAATTAAAAAATTATCTCACTATTGCATTGTATTACAAAAAATTTATTTGAAATAAAATAAACACAAATTAAATTAAAATAAACACAAATTAAATTAAAATAAATTAAATTGAATTAAATTAAATTAAAGTAAATTAAATTAAATTAAAGTAAATTAAATTAAATTAAATTAAGTTAAATAAAACTAAACAAAATAAGTTAAGTGAGATAGTAGTTTAGAAATAATTTAATTTATATTATTGATTTAAAATTAAAATAAAATAAATTAAATTAAATCTTAGAGGGGTTTTCGAATAACAAAGAAAGAAATAAAGGACAAACACAAAAATTTATTTTTTAATTTTATTGAAGTTTGGCTGACCATACAACGCTGTTTCGAGTATTGCCAAGTACTCTTCATCAGTGGTCTTTGGAATAATCGAATTTATTTAATTGTTTATAGTCCGATAATAATTGATGGACTGCAAGTGCCAAGCTTAGAACTCGTGCCTGTCAAATTAAGAAGCGATGACTAACGTGTTTTTAATCCCAAGAAGGCAAGGCTCACAATTTTCAATGCGTCTAAGCTGGCACTTAGCAGTCCAAAACAAATTATATACGGACTATAAACTAGTTAAATAAAAATTCGATTATTTTCCAAAGACCACGATAAGATACTTGGAATACTCGAACAGCCGTTGTAGGTCAGCCAACTTCAATAAAATTAAAAAATAAATTTTTGTGTTTGTCCTTTATTTCTTTCTTTGTTATTCGAAAACCCCTCTAAAATTTAATAAAGCTTCTTTGTCACTATACAAAGAAAGTCTAGCTTTACAGCAACACTAATACTTTATTCAAAAATTAAATTAAATCTAAATAAATTAAACTAAATTATTTTAAATTAAATTAAACTAAATTACAGTAAATTAATTTAAATTAAATTAAATTAAATTAAATTAAATTAAATTAAATTAAATTAAATTAAATCAAATTAAATTAATTGAGATAACGTATGTACGCACAGCACTATGATACATATCATAGTTCTGAAATGATCGGAAGTGTGTGAATTATTTATATATATACATACATGTTAAACATGTAAATATATATAATTTGTAAACAAATTATAACTCTAGTCACATTGGTCTCTAAATTCAAGATCGGCATTTAAAATTTTGTGCAAAATTTTTTAATATTTGCTTTGCATTGATACTGAAAATTAATAAATCACTTTAAAGTTGATTGTTAGCAGCTTATTAAGTTAAAAACAAGTATATATTGTACAATGGAATATTGAAACTGTCAGGAAAACGACTGCAATGTAAAGTTCAGATAAATTCAAAAGTTTTTTTTTTTTTAATTTGGATTCAAGTGCTGACCAAAATATATCTGAGTGAGATGTGTTTTTTTTCATATAAATTGCTTCATAAAGCATTAATGG